TGCCAGTATAACTGCATCTACAGTAGGGCTCTTGCTGGCATAGCTATGTTGACAAAATAAAATAAAATAAAAATCACACTAATAACCAGTACAGATACACCAGCAAAACATCTAAGTGTAAATCAGGTCTTAGACTGTAAACTCCTTGGGACAATGTCAGTCTTTGTTCTGTGGTTGTATGGCACTTAGCACAATGGGGGGCCTGATCCATGCCTAGGGCTCTTAGGTGCTACTGCAATACAGACAATAATAATCAGCAACGCTCTACATCAGGCCCTGTAGGTCTGGAGAAATTTTGCGCAAAAAAAAAAAAATCTCCCCATTGCCGCACAGATTCAACTCTGTGAGTGTTAGTGATGGTGGAAAATGTTTTAAAAATGTCCTTAACACACTAGGGATTTTCAAACTTTTCCCTAGCACTGGTGCAGCTGAGGAAGGGTGCGTGTAGATTTGAGAATCACGCCTATATCCAATTTATACTAAAACTCCCACCACGTCTACCAGCGCTGCTAGACCAATGGTGGGAAAGATGCTCATAAACTATTAGTACAAACAAGGTGCAAAAGGACTTGAAATTCATGGCAAATAGTTAATTCCTTTATATGGGCTCAAATGCACCAATTCTGGCGCCAGTCCTGCACCCTGATTCTCGGACGAGTCACAATGATTTCACTGGGATTGCATTTGGGCACAATGGAATTCACTTGACGATCAGGTCCTAGACTTGCATTTATTTTCTCTTAGCTAACGTGTTTTGCAAATATTTTAAGAAGTGCATTTTCTATTTATACTTGTACTGTATTTTTCTTTCTGCTTTGACCAATATTATCCTATTACTATAGTGACAGCTATGGGCAGTAGCAGGCCTGAAAGCATATGCTACTCCATAAAGTCAGCTAGCAATTAACTAGTGTATCATTTCCTTAGTATTACTGCTGGGAATTGTAAACATTGTAAGTAACCCTTCCCAGACCCGAGAGCTTATCTAAAATCACCCTGTTGTTAAAAGTGGAGCTTGTTGGATGGAATTATACTCTCCAGGCCAAATTCAGCTGTAGTGTGAAAGCTGTTTCTTAGCTGAGGAGTTGTACCAACTCTATACAACAGGGTCCATTTGGCCCTCTGTTTTGTATTATGGGAACAGCATAGCATGTGGGAACGTGACGCGGCTATTCAGTAATAGATATTTTACATAGAGATGGACCAAGTCCAAGCAAAGCCAACTCCAAGCACTTCCAAATCTCAAAAGTTTCAGCCCCATGTCTATTTTCTGTCATTCATAATGATTGACAGTGGTCACCACTTTTGCCAGCAGTTTTCTTCTTTTACTTGGGAAAGAGGTGTTGTATCCGTTGGCAAATATTGGCTTTAATGGTGACCTGTGTACTAAGACAGACATAACAGGATGACCCTGTTTCAAAGCTAAAAAAAACTTCTGGACCCTTGGCCATTCCTTCCATGCCCTTTCAGTTCACCTCCCTCCGTTTCACGTGGTGTTTTCTGGTTCTCATACTCATTAATGCTGGTTGTTTTTTTAACCTGTCAGAAGTGCTCTTTATTTGTTGGTTCTCTCTCCAACTGCTCCATCTCCCAAGTCCCACCTAATTTACTTTCCTTCTCTCATCTGTCAGCTGTGCTCTGTCCTCCAGCTCTCTCTTATTTTGTCAAAGATGCGGTTGATTTTTTTTAAACCACCCTTTTTTGCTTTTGCTGCATGGTATTAAATATTGGGGCTGCAGTGCTGTACGTTTTCACCTTTCATTACAATCTATACTCTGTCTGACTTTTACTTCAACACAAAAAATTTATGGCTGATATATTTCTAATCCATCAATCTCTCCTGTGACTTTCTGAAACAATGCTGATATGCCAAATCGAATACAGGGCTATATTTCAGCCGTATTTCTTGTTTCTTTGTTAAAGCAAACTATTTTGTATTGAATATTGCTCTTACTATTTAGATGTGATTAGCAAAGCAAGGTCGTATTTATTAAAACACTCAATGTTCACTTACGAGTTAAACATTGGATCCAATGTACGTGTCCATCTATCACAGAATTTAAACAAGGCATCCACTAGTCAGTTATGTAAGACATGAATAATTTTATGAAAACACTGCCGCTGACTATATTATACATCTACATAGCTTTATACAAAACAAAGCAAATGATTACCATCAATTATAATAACATCATTTGACAAGCCTGCAATTAATCTGCTGCTCTTCAGATAACTGTTGTTGCACAATGCCAAAGAAAATGCCATGCATTCATTGACTCATCACCAGAGTCTATGATAGATGGTACAGATGGTAATGTGATTATTCATCTTCAACAAAATAAATAAGTGCTTTGTTGCTGGAAACTATTCCTTTTGATCTTCTAAAAGAATGACAACAGGGTACTCGAGAGGTCTTTGAAGGTAACTCTAATATATCCATAGTGAGCTGCAGTTCTTCTGAAGCATTATTTTAATTATTTACTTAGAATTTGTAGCGTGCTAGGTGCTTCACAGACAGGAAGCAAGCTCATGGGAGATGGGTACAGCCAGGAGTGGTGAAAGCTTCCTAAAAGTGGGGGGAACCCCTGCCCTGCCCCTCGCTCACTCCTCTCCGTCCCCCCGCCCATCTGTCACCCTTACAGCATGGTAAAAAGTGATGGGACTACTGCCCCCTGTTCCGGTGCCCCTGAGTACAACAAAAAATAAGGATGGGAGATTAAAACTCTGGTATCCCTTCTGTATACAAAGCGACTGAATGATTGTCCCTTTTGAGCTCAGTCCTGCCCATAGTCTGTCATCATCACCATGTATATTGAAAAACTTGCTACCAATGCATGTACCCCTGAACTGCTGAAGGCGTTGTCTACACTAGCACTTTTGTTGATAAAACTTTTGTTGCTCAGGAGTGTGAAAAAACACCCTCACCCTCCAACCGACATAAGTTACACCAACAGAAGGGCCGATGAGGACAGCACTATGTTGGCACTACCGCCACTTGTTGGGGGTGGTTTAATTATGCCAACATGAGAGCTCTCTCCAGTTGGCATAGAGCAGCTGCATGGGAGACCTTACAACAACACAGCTGCATTGGTAAAGCTGTGCTGCTGTAAGGTCTCTAGTGTAGACATAGCCTGAGAGACTGATGAGAACCATGTATCAGAGGGCAGGATCACTACTTTACAGTATCCCCTTTGCCCGCTATTATTTTGTCTCTAAATCAGGTCCTGATACTGCAAAGATATAACTTGTGTGGTTAACTCTCTGGCTTGGTCCCCACTAACCCCCCACTTCGGACTAAGGTACACAAATTCAGCTACGTTAATAACGTAGCTGAATTCAAAGTACCTTAGTCCGAACTTACCGTGGGTCCAGACGCAGCAGGGAGGCTCCCCTGTCGATGCCGCGTACTCCTCTCGCCGAGCTGGAGTACCGCCGTCGCCGGCGAGCACTTCCGGGATCGATTTATCGCGTCTAAACCAGACGCGATAAATCGATCCCAGAACATCGATTGCCTGCCGCCGGACCCTCCGGTAAGTGTAGACGTACCCTCTGTCCCTTGAGCAGGCCCACTGACTTCAATGGGACTATTCACCATGTGTAAAGTTAAGCTCTGCATATTCTTCACAGGATTATGGTGTACAGTAGAAAATGTTGGACAATGGTAAGCAATAAAGGTAGAATTTCTTTAGAAACAACTACCACCTTCAATATTACTTTCTGGTTAATATTAGAATTTGATAATTAGTTTTGACTTTTCTTAGGAATATGATGGACTAACCTAATGATCCTTGTCATGGATAACCACCAGAGGTGAAAGTAAGCCGGTATGGTGTACCGGCAAGAGCCAATGCCGGACTGGCTCGGCTTCTCCAGCGGTGATTTAAAGGGCCCAAGGCTCCAGCTGCTGCAGGGAGCCCTGGGCCCTTTAAATCACTGCCGGAGCCCTGATGCCGCTATCCCAGCGGCAGCAGGGCTCCAGCAGGGATTGAAAAGCCCTAGGCTCCCTGCAGTGGCAGGAGCACCAGGCCCTTTAAATCTCCGCACGAGCCTGGCTGCCGCTACCCCAGCCCTATCCTGAGCCCTGCTGCCCCAGGGTAGCAGCGGCAGGGCTCCTGCGGTGATTTAAAGGGCCCGGGGCTCCCAGCCACCTCTGCAACTGGTAGCTCCAGGTTGATTTAAAGGCCCTGGGACTCCCAGCCACAGCCGGAGCCCCAGAGCCTTTCAATCTTGAAAGGCCCACCTCTTCCGGCTGAGGCCATGCCCGCTCAGGACTCCAGCGTACTGGTAAGTCCTTTAAATTACTTTCACCCCTGATAACCACACAGATGGCAAATGTACTGCATTCAGATTCTTTTTCTGTAATTGAAACTATGACTCTGAACGGTAAAAATCTGAGTGTTTCATGTTCTACCCTGCATTTTGTCTGGGTCTAATTTACAGGAAGCTTTTACGGTCTTTATGCTGCTGATTGTAAAATTTATTTTTCTGTTTTAAAGAATGAAAAATATTGTGCTGCAATTTCAGAATGTTCTTGGATAGCTAGTTAATATTCTATTCAAATTCCTTTGAAAATCCCAACTTAAGAAAGGTAGGTGCCCCAAACCCATTGAAATTCAATGAGATTTAAGCACTGAAGGTGAAATCCTGGCCCTATTAAGCTACTGGGAGTTTTGCCATTGACTTCAATAACCCAGAATTTCATCCCTAATTTTCTTAGTCTCCTTGAAAACCCCAGTCTGAAAAACCAAATCCGCAGCTGCAATTTGGTTATTTCAACAGGTGAGTAGTATATATCTAAAACAACAATCCTATATTGCCCCACACACCTGGCAGTGAACATGCTGTGTTTGATATGATACACATGTATTACAATGCACAATTTAAAAAAAATTCCCTCCTTTTCGAAAAGGAGAGCAATTAGTTTGATGCTACCCTTAGCAGAAATGGAGAGCAGGTATTTCATACGGGTTCATTTTGAAACTCCAAGTACATTGACGTACCTCCCCAGAAAAAGCTTGTCCGTTAAGTAGATGTTCTGATCCCTGGCTATCTTCACTTCCAAAGTGTAACCGGATCTCTTCCAAGCGATGACTGTATGTCATGGGCCCTCCAGAGATGTTCACCAAATGCTCTTTGTCTAACCGTAGAGAAACATGTCTCCCTGTATTATACATTGTCCCACTGACCTAAACAAAATGAATAAACAGTATAAAATTAAGTTTTTCTAAACCAGTGGTGAGTCCTAGAAAATAATGATACAGACTTCAAGCTTTTTCTACTTCAACACCTTCAGATTAATCTAACCATAAATCTTTAAAAAGATCAGAGATTAAATACCCAACTGAAGGATGTATTTCAAGTTCTGCTTTTAAATATTATACTTTATATTCAAATATTTTGCTAAATCCCTACGTACATATTTTAGCCACAGGCATGTGGTTAACACAATGAATGTGATTATTATACCTCTAAATAAGTATATATGTGAAAATATTCTTTATGCGAGACCTGAATAATGACTTCATTACAGAATTTCTGCACTGAAAAAGGGGAACATTTCAACTGCTGTATAAATAATTCACAGTATATTTAAACAAATCAGAAATTTAACTCATTTTTTCTTACTGAAAAATTTATAAGAAAATTGTCTCAAAGCAGAGATGCTACAAAAGCCTTCTGCTCCCATTGGAATCAATGGTAAAACCTTCATTGATCTCTGTTATAAGGCTCCATATTTTGACAAGAATGTTCTGTATTTTATGTTCCAGATACATTAGTTATATCGATACAGAATTAACCTTTGTTAGTTCTTATGTCCCATCTCCTTTTAAAATTAATCTTTATTTTATTAGAAAAGAATGGAAAGATATGCTTTGTTTGTAAAATAAAATATAAACAAAAGTGACCTTAAAGTAACAACCCAGGTAGTATACAATGGAAGGAAAAGAAATTTAGTGCAGAAAAGTGTTTAATTTTAAAGAATGAAAAATATACTGTAAAATTATTAATTATATGAAAAATAGTGTAAGAACAGCCTTTAATTTATGCTATTGTAGGGAAAAACACATTTGTTTGAGTGCAGAATGGGACTGAGGCTTACTTCCTAAAATTCTGCAGGGATGCAAATACTACATTTAAATAACATTAATTAATATTAATTAGAAGGAAGTGTAGCAATGGTATGCTTTGCTGCACTTTAATTTAAAATTAAAGGCTTGACAATTATGTATTATATCCTATAGTACATTGGTACTGTAGTAATTAACATAGCTGCAGTGACATGTTATCTTTAATACTAATTACTGTTTAAATGACCTGTTTTGTTGCACAGTATGCTGTAAAGTTACATTATACAAACTGTGCGACAGAACTAAATGGGTAAGATAAAATAGTTTGTTTTTTTTATTTTGATACAGGTGTTCTACATTTATTTGGTGTTATTTCAATTTAGAATGGGGAAGAAAATACATTTCTCATGTAAAGCAGTAAGCGTGAATACTGCAATTTATTTCACATTCAACATGATTGGACTTTTTAATATATGCCCTCTAGTTTTCTGGTTTAACTTTAGCATGTACAGTAATTAAATATCAAGTTTAGTTTAATATTTGGAAGCAGGTCAATTTTACTGAATCCAGTTACAGTACACTGCTTATGAATGACATAAAATTGCTAATCACAAGTAATGTGTAGTTTCAAATACAAATGGTGGGGAAAATTGTTTAAAGTCATTTTGCTGATTCTCTATTTTGGAAATTCACACTTCATTGAACATTCAGTTAGTTTTAGTAACTACAAAATATTCACAATCCATTTTCTTACTCTGCTTGATACAAATCTTAAATTAGGTTACCACCATTCTCTTTCTCAAGGTAAAAATGCCTCAAATAATTCTCTATAGTATATATGCAAAAAAGTAAGCTGGCCAGACTCCTGAAAAGGGATCATATTCTTTTGCCCTCTCTCTACCTCCTTTCAAAAATGCAGCACTTATAATGAGGCCACATTGTGAGTGCTTGGAATAGAAGTCCTCTATGCACACAACAGGTACAGCATACCAGTAGCACAGCAAGCCTCTCTCATTACACGCTCCAGTGTGCCTCTGTTCTGACTTGGAGGGACCAACACTTAAGTAAGGAAACTGCTGCATGGACACATACACAGAAACATTATAGTTGTCAGGAACGACAGAATTGGAGACCTGCAACTCCAAATACACGAGCTCCTGCCACTTGAACTACAAAGGATGTCAGGCCCCCTATCCTTACTGGGCCCACACACAAGAGGGAGACGTGACCAGATATACTAAGCTAGTGTGTTACAATGGAATACTTTTATGTTGAGCATTTATACTGAGGTAGCACTTACAGGCAGTGGGTAACATTTCCAAAACGCCCAATGTGGCAGGAGCCTATATCAGATTTTCAAAAGTGACTAAGGCACTTTGGAACCTTAGTCTCGGTGGCATTAGGTTCCTTATTTGTATTTGGAAATGTCTCTTTTATCTTTTATTTGAATCGTATAAAA